AAGAAAGTCCATTTCAGCAGCTTGTACCCGGGTTCGAAGTTTTTCAGTGATGGTCCACGATTCATGACCGCAGGGAAGTATGCGGATAAAGATCGACTTGAATATTGAGATTTTAGTTTTCAGACTGAGCTCTGCTTTAATCACAATGATCGTATCATTTTTTAAGTGCACATTTTTCTGATAATTGAAAGTTTTGTCATCTGTCTGTTGAACAGCCGTCTCAAGTATTGAAAATGGGTTGCATAAATTTTTCAATTTGTAATCGCGATAATTAGGTTCGTAAATGCTAGCTTTTCAGTTGTTAGCATCTGTCCTTTTTCCTGCTCTTTTTATCGTTTTTTGCCAGAATTAAGTCTTGAAGCAGTTTGACCGGTTGGTTTAAATGTTTCTCTCATAAGATCACTGTCACATTCCGGCCGGTCGGTCGCACATGTGTTTGAAATTTCTCTGCTGTTGCTGCATGGATATCTAGCATGAACTCTGTTCACTGACGTTTGGAAACTTTTATCACGTGATTTCTAAAACAACGTCCTTTTATCATCAATCAGTGATATCATAAGCTGTACAAAATGGTGCTAATAGCCTTCTCGCGGTTTCCCTTTTGTTATAGTATTTGTATCTTTCGCTGAGTCTAATTTATCATCGAATTCTTTAAAGGGATTCAGTTCAATGTAAATTATTTCGTGAGGTAATGAGATCAATGTAAGTTACCCCGGGATATAGCCCATGAAATACAGAAGATTAATGTACGTAAGAATGTACAAAGTAACGCCAGAAGCATGGAATGCCATGATAGACTAAATTACATATCAGGTATGATTTGTATAAGAATCGATACGTACTCGCGTTCCGAATTCAATGAGCATCTGACGCTAAGAAGTAGAACCAAACGTCTGTGCGCTTCCATACGGCAGGCAGCAGGGCTGAATTTGTTTCTGTTTGACTGTGGCTTGACTGATATACCGGCAACTGCATCGTATATCGATGCTTTGAACCTCCAGCATATTTTCACCAAGCGAGGGCGCAAATTCCCCTCTTTTTATGGTGATGACGTTTATCTCTTCCTTCGGGTTTGGATTATCAAAGTCGCCATTCTGATGACTCTCTGCAACATAGGTCTTTTCTGCTGGAACAAGTTTGGGCAAGAACATATATTGACGTTGTCCGATGTATTAGAGGTCGTACGCGTGTTTTCGTGAAAGACCGT